AAGAAATTTAGGTCCCATGGTTTTTTTTCTTTATTTGAAATAATTAGTATATGTATAGGATAATCTTATCAGATGATCTAAAAAGCTCAAAGGTCCTGAGTTCAGAACCCAACATTGCCAAAAAATAAGGATGGGGAGAGAAAGAAAGGGTAAATGCAGAGGTGAATTTGATCAAAGTACATTACATGCACCTATGGAAATATCCCAGTGAAAACCCTCTTTTTTAAAAATCTAAGCCTTTGCTCAGTGGAATGTCATCTATTTCTCTTCTATTGATTGATGTGTGAGGTGAGAACCACTGACCTGGATGATATCTAAACCATATATGAAGGTCTGTCTGATGGGCAGAAAAAGGATCAATTATAGGAAGAAACTTTAGAAACACTAGGAAATTCCACTATCCTGAGTATTCCTTCACCATCTGTAGCTTTTGTGCATGAAACAGTACAAGGCTTTGTTTAAAAGAAAGTAGAGTTTTAGCTGAGAGGACCTAGCAGAAGCAGGAACTCTCAAGTAACATCCCAATTTTGATGTCTAATATCATTGTTTCCTAAAAAGAATTAGGGTTCTAAGAAAAATCATTTGATTTTTATTTGAGGCAAGAAATACATAAGATAAATCTAGAATATTTTTCAATAATATATAGATATGCTTAACAAAGTAAAACAATCCACATAATGATGAAGTTATTTCAAAGAAACAGTTGAACGAGTTGAAAGAACTCCCAGTAAGCAAGTGTGAGAGAATTTGAGAAACAAAATGTAGTAGAATTGTACTGCATAATACAAATATCCATGCATCCATACTGGTAGAAATAAATGATAGAATAAATAGATAAATAAGTAGGGGAGAATAGATAAATCTTCCATGAAGAAAAAATAGAAATAATTTATGTAGGTATTCTGCTCTGAGGAAGGTAGAACATAACTCTCCCACTCCTAAGTGGGGATTGTGAATAATGACTTTTATCCAAAGACTACACGGTAGAAAGAAGGGGGGAAGGGAGCAACTTTACAGTGAAGAATGACAAACACTACCTCAAGTCAGGTAATCAAGGTCAATATCATCGTCAGTAAGTTATACTGACTCTTTGTACCCTTGATATGATATGAGGAGAATGGTATTTTATGTCTATGGTCTTCCTCCCCCAAACATATTCTCCCAGTTTAACCACAAGAAAAATAGTAAACAAATCTCAATTGAGGCACATTATACAACCTATCTGACCAGTACACCTCAGATGTTCAAGGTTATCAAAAGCAAGAAAGACTGAGGAAGTAGCACAGTTGAAAAAGAGCTTAAGGACACATTACAAGTAAATGATACATTATATACCAGATACAGTCTTGAAATAGAAATGGAATATTAAGGAGAAACTGAAGACATGTAAGGAAGTTAAGGACTTTGCAACAATTCTGGTAATCTAAAACTGTCCTAAAAGATGGACATTTATTTAAAAATAAATAAGAGATTTTTACCTGGGCACCAGTCAGTGGCTCATGCTTGTAAATCTATCTACTCAGAAGGCTGAGATACTAGGATTACAATTCAAAGCCAGCCTAAGAATGTATCTGATACGCTTATCTCCAATGAACCACCAAAAAGCCAGAAGTGAAGCTGTGGTTCAAGCAGTAGAACCCCAGACTTGAGCCAGAAAGCTCAGAAACAGCACCCAAGTCCTAAATTCAGGACTCAGGACTAACAATACTTTAAGGACAAAGTATATGTTCTTCAATAGGAAAATGAATGATTAAATCAAAGTGCCAAAAATGTGAACCAAGCTATCAGTAGAATGAGCAAACTATCAAATGACTAGGAAATATTTCCACTATATATTTTTATTAAGAAAAGAAAATTCAGAAAAATATAATCTTCCTTTTACTTTGTAAGATAATAAGAAGAGAATCCCTATAAATATATTTGTATAATTAATAGAATATAAAAATGCCTATAATGAGTATATAAGTGGTTGTCATTGCCAGGTGTAGGTGAATGGATTACAGGGGAAGAGAAAAGAGAGATTAGCAACATTGAACATACAAGTAGGGCCAAGCCATTAAGCAATAATTAGTTCTTTAATGTATTATATGCTTAGAACCTTTGTATAATGGGCTAAAATTTGAAATAAACTTTAAACTTCTGAAAACAACAAAGAAACCAAACACAAATCATGAGTGGTAGGGGGAAGAAAAAAATATATATATATAATTTTTTTCTGGGTCCGGTCGTGGGCCTAAACTCTGGGCCTGGGCACTGTCCCTCAGCTCTTCAGCTCAAGGCTAGCACTCTACCACTTGAGCCACAGGGCCACTTCCTGCTTTTTTCTTTTTGCTTATGTGGTGCAGAGGAATCGAACCCAGGGTCTCATGCATGCAAGGCAAGCGCTCTACCACTGAGCCACCTTCCCAGCCCCGAAAATATATATTTTTGAGGGGCAGGTGGTAGTGAGGACTGGGATTAAGCCAAACCTGTATAATGTACAACCAGAATGTTTTCTCTGGCTTTTAAATGTCCATCATGTTTTATTTTCTTCTTTTGCATTGTCTCTATAAAGTAAAAAATGTTATGCTTACAATAAAATGAAGTACAAAGTTTATTCTCAGGGAAAAAATGAGAGTTTCAAACCATTCTCACTTATTAATATACAAGTAAAAAAGAATTCAAACATTAGAATGCATAATGGAAAAATACATGGAATAAAAACAATAATAGATAATTACAAAGTACAGGATTCAACTCAACTTATTTTGTGTTTCTCATTAGAATCTGAACAGTCCCTTTTGTATCTGTGGTTGCTTACATTTCATAAAATTATCTTAAAAACTTTGTGGAAGAATGAACATTAAAAAAGAAATGAAAAAGCAGTTCTGTGCCGGTGTGTATAGAAGTGGAGGTGGACTTGCATTATGAAGAATCTTATCGTGCCCAAAGCTGCAATAATCAACTACAGGTGATATGGGTATGAAAATGCCTAAAAGTAACAAGGAAACAAAAGTAGAAAATACATTTTAAAGGAGAGGATGAGAAGAAAAGAATGAAAACATCCTGGAAAATTATTGGTCACTAAAGGTGAGTTACATCTACTTCTATACTTTTCCAAAAGCTGCTGACGAGCCTATTTATCACTGAGGATGTGATAAAAATGATTGCTTTGGCCAACATCCTGTGGATTTTGCCTACCTTGGACAGAAACTAAACTCACCATTTGTTCTACCCACACCCCTTCTACTTGTACACAAAAGTGATTTTTAAGAAAGTCCTCTGTTTAGACACCACCTTGTTCTTCTGGCCTTTAGAACAATGAGTACTTGCCAAAGAGTTCCAAGGGCTTTTGATGAAGAAGTTGCATAGCTTTGGTGTCAAAGTCCACAGGAGACAAGAATAAGAAGGTTCTGTATTTCCAAGAAGTTAAAATCAAATAGTAGAGTGCAGCTCCCTGGTGAGTAAGGTCAGAGACTTTCAAAATGGCAGAAATGAAAGGTGACTTAAATGTCATCTCAGCTACCTAATACCTAATGCAGCCTCTGAGATAAGAGATCCTAAATCCTAGCACTGCAATGAAAGGGGAAGGGAGGGAGAGAATATTGTAGAATCTCTAAAGACAAAACAGCTTGCTTTCTGCTGTAAACTTCCTCTAAGCAAGAATTATGTCTGATTATTTTCCCAGTATACTACCCACAAATTCAGGATGATGGTATTTAGAGAGTTCTATGCTGAATATTCATTTACAGTGGAGTCAAATTCTCATTCAAAATTCTACAAAGGCTATTACCATTAGCTCATTTGCTAAGAAATCCTCCAGAAGCATCTGAAGAGTTTTTTTGCCACCAAGAAAGGCAAATAATGCTATGCTGGTGGCTTTAGTATGGCCTTGTTTGTGATCATTTGAATAAATGCACAAAAGTACGATTGCTGGGTCATATGGGAGCTCTATGTGTAGTCTTTTGAGGAACCTCCATACTGCTTTCCAGAGTGGTTGAACAAGTTTACACTCCCACCAACAGTGCAGTAGCTTTCCCTTTTGGCTACATCAGCATCTGATTTTGATACCCTAGTATTGTATATACGTTTATTTGAATTAGGGAAGGGAAAGGTAACAACAGAATGGTGAGACAAAGGACAAGGAGGAATCCATGCAACAGCGATATACACAAGGCAATATGTTGGAAATGATCTGTACAACTTGTGGGTGGGGCAAGGAGAAGGAAAGTAGGAGAAAAATAAGGAAAGGGTAACAAGTTTGACAAGAAATGTACTTATTACCTTACTTATGTAACTGTAACCCTTCTGTACATCACCTTTACAAAAAAATATAGTGAAGAAAAAAAAGCAAAAGCTTGACTTGAAGGATTCTTGAGGTCATTTTCATGGCTAAATATCAAGATCATTGAGCCAACTGGCTCAATGGGAAAATAAAAAGAATCGTTAATATAGGACCCTGGGGCAGGGGTGGAGTTGGAAAAGAAATGAGTCACAAAATTTTCTAAATTAAATAAGCACACACTGTACATGGGAATCCTACTTTATGACAATCTGATAAGAATCTGCTATGTAACCCCAAATGATAATTAGAATCAAATTTACTGAAGCTCTCATGTGCTGCAACCTTTCAAACACTATCTGGGGCCAAAATGAATACCAGGAAGCTGAAACTTGTGTCGTTGGAAGGGTGAGGTCAAAGGTAGTGGGGCAGACAAATGGAGAGAGGAAGGGTGGGTAGATAAAGTCAGACCATTAAATGTATAGATGTGAATATTAACCTAGGTAAATTACTGGGATGGATGGGGTTGGGAGAGATAGGAAAGGATGATGAGAGAGGTGACATTGGGCAAGATGCATTGTCCTCATGAGCTGGCATCTTGAATTGAAACCCCTTTGTACAAATACTTAAAATAGTCTTAAAAAGGCAAAGTCTCTAGGGTATAATGCAAAGCAAATACCTATCAAAAGCAAAAGGCTACTATCCAAGGCACTGGGTGATATTTTCCCACAACACTCACCTTAAAACACAAGTGTAGAATCCACTGTCTTGGGCCTCAGCTGAGTGAAACCATATTGAGTCTTCCTCTTTGCTCATCCTGACCTCTGAGAAGATGATGGGCTCTTCCAAATCACCTTTGTTTTTGTACCACATAAGTCTGAGCCCAGTACTCTGGGCCATGCTGTAGTTGGTGCGGATGTAACTGTAGAAAAGGGCACATTTCACTCTGACTGGTTCTCCTGCCAAAGCCATGTATGTCTTGAGATCCACTGACCAGTCAATACAGCCATCCACTGCAAGAAAACCAGACATGGCATGAGATGCAGTGAACATCGTTCATGAGGATGGTTAAGGATAATTCATTGCCATTATGTCCTGAGGACTTTCTATGAGGCAGGTACTGATTCAACTGTTTTAGACAGATTACTTAATTTGATCTTCCCAAGGAGCATATTGGATAGTCCATTAGCTTACTTATACTTTAGTTAACAGACATCTCATTATAGCACTGTGCCTTGAAGAGTTTTCCAATCCTCTAGATTGAGGTAGACAAGAACCTACAAGGAACTCTAGCACTGATGGCTATAGGGTTGTCCTCAGAGCCCACAGCCTGGTTCTACTTCCAGCCAAGTAGCCTAACAAGTGAATTGCTCCTGATAGCCAGGCAGTATTTACTTTGTAGGATCAAATGAAGTAGAACTGCTGAGATGACACTGACAGGTTGGTTTGTGGAGACTCAAACTGAGTATTTGGCAAGATTCCCTCAAAATAAATATTTGCAAGGGAACTTTGCACAGCCTAGAAGCAAGCTTGAAATTATTTCTCTTATTCTTATTTTATAGGTGAGGACACTGAGACTCAGAGAAATTAATGACCTGGCCCAAAGTAACACAACTAATAAATGATGGACAGTTAAGCTCTGATCCCAGAGACTATCTTCTTAACTCCTATCTGTACTGCTGAGACCTATAATTGTGACAATAGCCACTGGATTATTGATTTGCCTTGGAGAGAGTAATGCTGGGGTTGGAACTGTGGGCACCTAAAGAGATTACTTGCTATCATACACAATGCCATTTTCCCATGATATGACCTGCTATTAATAGCAGATATTTAATTACAATTGATTTCTTTTCATACCCTAAAGCCTCCCACACTTTTTAGCTGATGTTTGCTCATAGGAATATAAAGAATATAAGATATTAATGTCAACATTAATCAAATAATATTAGGTGGGTAAATTTATCATTAAAGAATGACACAATGCCAGGTACCACTCACTCGTATCTATAATCCCTTATATTTGGGAGACAGACTTGGAGGATCTTAGTTCACAAAGAAGATAGGTGAAAAGTCTGTGAGACACTATCTCAAATTAACCAGCAAAATTCTGGACTAGAAACATGGCTCCAGTTGTAGAGCACCATCAGTGAGCAAGAATATTAATATGATGTGAGGCGTTGAATGCAAGCCTCTATACCAGCACCCTCCTTCCTCCAAAATGATATATAAAGTACATTCCCTATTTTCCAGAGGGCTAAAAATGAGATAGTGTGGCTAATTCAATAAGCTAGTCAGTGGAATTAGCATAGACATTCTACTTCTGAGAGATTATTTTTAAAGAATTTCATCAAATTTTGCTATCTTCTTTATCCTTTATTATAACTATTTCATAAAATGCATAAACACTGTCATTTTAAAATTATATGTTTTGCTCATAATTTTGTGGAATGATCTGTTTCCTTTTTGCAGATGTTAAGAACTTTGTAACCCAGTGCATTTAATCTTTAACCTCAGTTGACAGGAAGCTCAGAGCTAAAGGCAAAGCTCAACTGTAATAATGATTCATTTCTTTATGAGAAGAGTTATTTAACTAGGGTTCAAGGACACCCAGGCAAAGGGTGCTGGCAAAACAATGTGTTTATTTTCTAGACATATTTCTTAAGGGAGAATTTGATCTTCCTCTGATCTTCAAAGGAGTCTATGGCCCAAGAACATATTTCATCTCTATGCTTTTATATTTTATTAATTAATATTAGTATTTTTTACAGTCTAAGAAGCAAGCCTAGAGCCTGTGACATGTTAGGCTAGGTCTCTAACACTGAGATCCAACCCTAGAGTACGTTCTCATCCCTTGTCAGTGTTTTTACTGTCTTGCTGCATATGGGCTATTAACATAAGCTGCTTTATCTTTTCATATCATATAAGAGATATTTACTAGAAGTAAATACTAGATAAATAGCTCTCATTAAGTTTTTACTGGAGAGTATTTTAATCTTCTTTGAGGATTCAATGGTACCAGATTCATCGCTGTGTTTTCTTTTTCTTTTACTGGTATCTAGGTTTACACTCAGGGCCTTGTGCTTGCTGGGCTCGCTTGCTTGGCTGAAGTGCTATAACTTGAAGCACATCTCCCACCAGATTTATCACTATGAATTTTGATGAGCAATGTTTACTGTCCACACGAGGTTCAATAGCCTGAACTAAATATGTGCTGATTGCCAGCTACTGCTTAGGAATCTTTAAATTCACTCCATATAATTGTGTTTCTACCTGTGATATTATTGTTTTAAAATCTTGACAAGAATTTTATATAATTGTTTTTTTGGAATGATCTGAAATACTAGTCCATGCAAGCATTCACTTGAGGGACAGGGATATTACTTTTTTAAGAGAATATATTTTCTACTGGTTTTATTTTAAAGTTGGTTAGCAAAAACAAAACATTAAGAAAGTAAAATAGTGACTCATATTTCTATTTTCCTTTCCAAACCCTAAGATACACAGTAATGTTTTTGTTTGTTTTTTAGTGCCAGTTCTGGAGCTTGCATTCTCACTTATTTTTATGTTCAAAGCTGGTGTTCTACTACTTGAGTCATAGATCCACTTCTGGTTGTGGGGATGGTTAATTGTTAAGAATCTCACAGAATTATCAGCCTAGGCTGGCTTTAAAGCACGATCCTCAGATCTCAGCTTCTTAAATAGCTAGGATTACAGATGTGACCCACCATTTCAGCCCATTTCAGTCATGGGGCTTCAATTCAGGACCTATGGATGTCCCCAAGGTTTTTCACTCAAGGCTAATACTCTGCCACTTTGAGCCATAGCTCCACTTCTTGTTTTCTGGTGATTAATTGGAGATATGAGTCTCACAGACTTTCCTTCCCAGGCTGGCTTGAACCACGATCCTCAGATCTCAGCCTCCTGAGTAGTTAGGATTACAGGCATGAGCCACCAGTGGCCAGCAGTAATTGTTTTTGAGTTAACAAATTCAACTTGGCAACATAACTACTCAAGAGCAAAAAAAAATTGACATCACTCAGGAGACTGAAGGATCATGATTTCAAAACCAGCCTAGGCTATATGGAAAGACTGTATCTCAAAACAAATAAACAAAAATAAGAAACAAACTTTGGAATTTTGGGCATTATGTTTCTTGTGTTCCTCAAATTTTAGTTACCTCCTCTAATTGATCTGTTGCATAGTCTGTACCTTTATAATCTGCAAGTGGTAATTTGGCTCATAAGTAATGAGAAAATATTTGGTATTTAAGAGAATCAAACCAATTGCTACAAAGTCCCAACAATCAGGATTAACAGCACTTTATGACATTTATCTGCCATTTCAGATGGCTTGAGTACTACCTGAGCCACATGCACCTGATTACAATATACATATAGTTCCTTTGCCCCCCTGCTTTGCAAATCAGAGTGGCAGTACAAAGTTATAAGGTAGTCAGTCAGACAACAAAATTCAACAAAGGAGAAAATAATTTATAACTTTGATCCCTTTTGTTCTGTCTCTTAGTTTTCATAGTACATGGTCACACCATAAGATCTCTCAAGATATCTAAGCTAATTTTCCATAAAATAGACAAAGGCCATGATACTCAGGATATGTGGAGGCCTGCCTGTTGCCAAATATTTTCCCACTTGAAACCTATATTGTCCACTAGAAATATATTCCCAGGAGGTAAGGTATTGAATAGAGTCTTATATCTAAGGAACATCAGCCTACTCCTAGATTCTAACAAGGTGGTATGATTTGTTTTGATTGGATTTCTATTCTTAGCAACCCCACTGCAGGCAAAGAATGAATGCAATAAGATCTGGTGAATTTATTTTTAGCGTTGAGAAGAGTGACACAACTAAGAAGTACAGACCTAGATAAGAGGCCTAGAAGGTCAGGTGTAAAGCCAGCATGAAGCAATTGAACATTTCAAAGTTTAAGAGGCAGGATCTGAGGGATGTCAGGAGGTCGTAAAAAGGCAAGAAAAGTTGCATGATCACATACAACTTAATTTTGCAAGTGTCATTAGATGTCATGAAGCACTTATAATAATAACATATCACACTTTCAGACCCTTTTTCATGTTGATCCTCCATACATATTCGGCAAATAGAAGAATGAATAAGCCTGTGATACAACTGACAAAGATGCAGGTGGTGGCCAGGTTGGTTATGAAGCTGAACTGAAAAGTCCACAGAAGAAACCAATCTGTGAACTTGACCTCATCAGCACAGAGCTCCAACTCATGGTTCTGCCAAGTCCTATTCTGTTCACAATGGCAATGGCAGCTGGCTACGCACAGGCTACATACAAGGTTTCTGAGAAAAGTTTTTTTCCAGGTAGACTAACTTTGCCAACTGATGAGTTAATAAAGGGCCTCACTGACTATTAGCCTGGAAAGAGGCACTGAGGGAGACATTGTGTGTCCCCAGTAGTGAAGTTGGGCAATTGATGGAGCTCGTTAGACAGCAAACATATTGAAAATAGGAGCAACTGCATACCTGACCCCTGCTGTGTAATTGCTCAATAGAGTGACAGATATGCCTGTCCACATAAGATATATCTATTTCTACCTTCCCAATTTTTCTGCTTACTCTTTAGTCTTATGGATAGAAATTCGGATATTTAAAATGAACGATTGTGTTCCTTTATATTCTCATGTCTGCTTTCTTCATTTAGATCTCTATAACTCTCCCAAACTTATTATGTGCTTTAATCTTTTCTTAATAAGTTTTTTTATTATGAAAATACTGTACAGAGGGGTTACAGTTACATGAGAAAGGTAATGAGTACATTTCTTATCAATCATTGTTGCCTCCTCCTTTGTTTTTCCCCTGGCAGAAAAAAATGCTTTAATATTTGAGTTCTTGAAAACAATTATAACAGAATGAAGAAAGCTACTTTTTAAAAAGTAGGCCTCTATTTCAATCACTTCCAATGCCATCTTCAAAACAAGTGTGTGCTAAGGGAGCTTGACATGAAGGTTTAAACCAAGGAGTGTATA